GCACAGAAACTTGTCCATTAAGAAAACAGGACGAAGATAGAATGTCGGTGTTCTAACACCGCTGTCTACGCAGCATTGCACGAATCTAGTGGGGTAGCCGGATGAGCAATGCTGAGGTGAGGCACACAGTATTAGGTAAATGCGGTCGCCCACTGGAGCAAGTGGTCGACCTCCATAGAGTACGTTGGTCTTGGGCATGTGTTACGCATGTCACCAAATAGGTAGCCACGGCGAGCGAAGTTCTTCGAAGCAGGCACCGTGTGGAAAAAGCCAAGGGTATTCAAGCTAAGACCTGGAATGAGGGTATGAAAACCCTCACCAGGAGTTCGGGTCGCATAGGTTCCGTTAGGCTCCCTGGCTAGGGACCCCGGGATGATCGTACTCGTTGGTTAGAGACTCTGAGTGGTATGGCTGGGTGTCGTAAACAGTGGCATTCGTGCAGCTTGCTGATTTCGCTGCAAATTTAGTGCAATGAAATCCTAAATTTTCCTACTTTCAACCTTTCTTGTCTTTCTTTTCATGTTCATCCGAATGGGCATTTGATAGACAGCAACCAAAACCGGCGCACAATAATGCTTGATAACAGTTGGAGAAACAAAACTGAACTGATTGCTGAGTTGATGTTTATGCACCGAAGTGAATAACGATCTTTGATAACCGTCACTTTGGATGATAAAACAGGTTTTAAGGTTTTCATGCACCCACAAGATGAGGCTAGCAATGCCATCGAGCCTCTGTAAGTTTGTCGTCATTTGACGGATAAGTTATATCTCTAGTTAAATGGGGTGCTTTCTTTTTTATATCTGAATTTCATTTGGGAGCGTTCCTACAATCCTCATCTTCCTTGTCTTTTGACAGGATTATATATACAATATTCTGAGGACCTCTGTGGATGGTATCTTATCCATTTATTCATAAAATTCTTCGTTACTTTTATTCAGGTGGAAGCACCGGATGCGCCAACCACGTCTGCATGTGCCCTCATTCAACCGGATCCACTGTTTGAAGACCAGCCGACACCATGCCCGCTGTTCAAACGCTTGCGTCTTTCCGAAGAAACATCTGGTACAGGCACCGAAGTGCCAGACCGTGGTGGTTCTGTGACCAGTTCTTCATCACCCGCGCGATTCAACAACGAGAGTCTCGTATTCACACCAATGTGCATTTTCCCCGATCAAAAACCTATCTCCGGTACACCGCAAACAGACTGTGCAATAGTTATGGACTGCCAGACACCGATTACCCCACTCCCAAATTACATTGAAATGATGACTCCGGAACTGAAGGTGTGTGATGATTTTTCCCACTCATACTTCCTTGTTATTGAATGTTATATTTCAATTTCGCTGATGTGATCAATTTGCCAGACAAGTGGGCTTTTCAATTAACTTACTATTCAGTTGAACTCGCTATGTCGTTTATAAGATATGTTTGAGAATAACAACAGCTTGGCGAATAAGCTCATAATCATGCAATTACACAACAATGTAACGAACAATAAGAACAAAAGGGGATGAGAAATTCCAGTCCAAACGTGTGTGTGTCTGAAATTGATCTCATCACGACGAGACTGCACCTTGACGTGGTGTGATGGCTTGCTTGCCTCCATGACCCTGCGAGCTACATAGGATGGCTTCTCACAACCGTAGATCCAATCATGTCTGAAAGGTCAACGGGAATAGGCCAGACAAAGCTCAGTCTCACAAGGCCAGCTGTTTGGGGACCTCTTGGCTTCCTTCTTCTATCCACACCCGTCCCTAGAGAGGCCACTCCAGCAAGTAAACATGGCGAGGGGCAGTTTACCGGTCGAAAACCCCCCACTGGATGGACGTAGGAACGGGGTACCTGGGGCTTCCTCTCGACGGTGGGAAAAGTCTTCGCACTTCATTGGACAGCTACCGTCCGCCCAAGCTGGGCAGCTTCAGCCAATAAGGTGCTGTCCCGTCCACGTTCTGCTTGTCCCATTGGGTGCATGAGGCTGATGGCCGACCCCGAACAGCGGACCGATAATCAACGCACCAGCGAACAACATAACTAATCGAAATTCAAAGGCCTTGCGTGACGGGACTTCATAAGCTCCCACACAGGTGCTTCGTTCACGCTCCCGCGTTGGATTTACGCTCCACTGCCTTGTGAGTCAGACTCTTGAATCAAGGGCTCCGGTCAGGGTTCCCAAAGAAAAATCCCTTCGTCTGTGTGAGTTACCGCAAAGTATGTCGTGCCCTTCAGTCTAAGGCACTCATATGGAAAACCCTACTTCCTGTCTGTCTAGTTCTTCCTCCCAATCTCGAATAATACCCTACACCTGCTGTTTACAAGACCCATCGGATATCCCTCGGCGTTTTACCATCAAGTTCAAACAATCAGAAGTTACAGGATTTTTGAAACTAAAATTTCCTTTTCCCTTAGCCGCGTTCAATGTTCGCACATTCTATCAGATTGGTCAAGCTGCCCTAGCTAGAACCCTCGAAACTTTCAATTTAGATGTATGTTGTGTCTCCGAAACATGTATACAAGACCCCACTTCCATTATCTCTCTGCCTTCTCCTAATCCAACCTGAACCTCACGCTTCACCTTGTGTGTCAGGCGATTTGGCATCCGAAGCTCGCGGTGTTGCTAGTGTCGGGATTGCACTGAGTGCCAAGGCTGAGCGTTGGCTTCTTGACTGGATTCCAGTCAGGAGCCCATTGTGTGCAGTACGTCTCAACGGTTCGGTTCGAGTGAACAGCTACAGAACGAAGCGTCGATGCTTATTCGTCCTATCGGTGTATGCACCGACCGATTGCAGTGCACCTGAAGTGAAGGATGAATTCTACAAGGATCTTTCTCAACTACTCCAAAGTGCTCCGTCAATGGACGTCGTAGTAGTCACCAGAGACTTCAATGCTCAAGTGAGATCCCTGGACGAATCAGAAAGGCTTCTTGGCGGATCGCATCCAATCCCAGCCAACCGGACGGACAACGGAGATCGCCTACTTCAACTCTGCACGAACCACGGATTGTTCCTGTCAAACACGAACTACTCGCACAAGAAACGTCACCCTCTTACATGGAAACCGCCAACCTCTTCACAACGCTGGACCCAGATCGACCACATCGCCATCAGTTACCGCTGGAGGAGATCAATTCAAGACCGCCGCTCTTACT